GAACCCCCCCCCCCCCTCCACCGTCCGATCCATTTTGGATTTCACGCCTGAGAGTTTTGGGGTGTCTTAGCTCTGAGTCCTCCACCGCCCACTGGGGGACTTAAGTATTTCTTTAATGCCGTACCAATAGGCATTAACCTTGGGTAAGCTTGTGCTTACTTTGGACTGCACCCTCCTCATCCTCTGGGGGAGGTAGAGGGGGGGGGGGGCGCATGGCCTCCATTTTCCAGGGGGGGTTCGGGTACGGGTTGGGAGTCGGGTCTACGTGTACTGCATTCTCGAATTGTCCCCTCACTAGAGCTACTGTGGGTTTTCAGTACAGTTATCCGTACTCAACGCGTCTATGTGTCCGGCAATCTCCAATACAAATCAACATGTGAGGTTTCAGTATGCAGCTTTTTTCACTCAATGCGTCTGTGTGTCCGGCAGTCGCAAACGTCACTCGACCCGTCAGGTCTCAATATGCAGCTATCCTCACTCAACACGTCTAGGTGTCCGGCAATCTCCAATACAAATCAACATGTGAGGTTTCAGTATGCAGCTTTTTTCACTCAATGCGTCTGTGTGTCCGGCAGTCGCAAACGTCACTCGACCCGTCAGGTCTCAATATGCAGCTATCCTCACTCAAAGCGTCAATGTGTCTGGCACTACCCAACATCACTCAACTCGCGAGTATGTAGCTATCCCCACTCGCGCGTCCATGTGTCTGACAAAGTCAAAAACCTATGCATCTGTGAGGTTTCAGGATGCAGCTATCCTCACTCAACACGTCTAGGTGTCCGGCAATCTCCAATGCAAATCACCTGTGAGGTTTCAGTATGAGTCTTTCCTCACTCAAAGCGTCCATGTGTCCGGCACTACCCAACATCACTCAACTCGTGAGGTTCAGCATGTAGCTATCCCCACTCAGCGGGTCTATGTGTCTCGCAAACTCAAAACCAATCCATCTGTGAGGATTCAGTATGCAGCTATCCCCACTCAACGCGTCTATGTGTCTAGCAAACCCCAAAACAAATGCATCTGTGAGGTTTCAGTATGCAGCGATCCTCACTCAACACGTCTATGTGTCCGGCAATGTCCATCACAAATCACCTGTGAGGTTCAGTATGTGTCTATCCTCACTCTACGCGTCCATGTGTCCGGCACTCCAACATCACTCAACCCGTGGGGTTTCAGAATGCAGCTATCCCCACTCAACCCGTCCATGTGTCTGGCAATCTCAAACCTCACTCAACCCTTGGGTGTTCAGTATACAGCTATAATCACTCAACACGCCAATGTGTCCGGCAATCTCCTACATCACCCAACCTGTGAGGTTTCCGTAGACAGCTATCCTCACGCCACTCATCTATGCGTCACGCGTCTTTGGTAGCGCATACTGTGGGGGCTATATTTGGGGTGACGTGTTTTACAGCGCTTTGCCAACAGCGCCAACCCAACAACAGCGAGACTGGTCTGGGGGGGGGGGGGCCATCTCTCGTCTCTCGTCTCGCATCCTTACGTTACCATACCACCACAGCAGCAACAACAACAGCAACAACAACAAGAGGAATCGCCGCTCACCTCCAGCCTCCTCCAGAGCAAGGGGACCCTCCCCAGGAGCTCCTCTGACCCGACGTCCCTTTCGGAGTGATAACCGCTCTCCCCCTAGGACTAGGGCTTGGACGAGGGCTGGCTCGCTCTCCGGGCATAGCCGCAGCCGCCGAGAACGAAGAGAGCGACGAGCTGGTGCTTGTGGAGAAACCCGACCGACGGTGATGGCTGGTGCCCTGCAGGGTGTTGGACCCGCAAGCGAGGTGCGGCGAGGGTTCATGGGGATATCTTTCGTGAATCTCCTGGGCGGGTGTGCCCACCGTATCTGACCGTGCCAAGACTGGCGTCTATAATGCTGCTGTCTTCTGGCCCGTTAGGTGGCGCGGTACACCCAACATACCCGAAACCAGATACACGCTACCCCGTGTTGCTGATGTGTTGCTGATGCTGATGTACAGCATAACTTACACCGACACGGCACGACTTTTCAGTTCCCGCTGTACATACGGTTTTGTGACGGATGCCGCTGATTGAGCAGCCGTTTCCCCGAAGCATCGTCAAGAAATTCGAAATTGGGGTTTGCCACACACAAAATACCTTCGGCGTTGTCGGGGACACCCCCCCGTTCCTGCCACTCGCGGGCCCCCCCTTCCCTCTCTCCCAGCATCCGCTCGTGCTGCTCCCCCTCCGATACGAAAAGTGGGTAGGCGCGCTGCCTATAGGGCGCTGCGACCTCATGGCGGAAAAGCTTCCCGTTGATCCCGGGGGAGAAATGCCGTGGTTTTCTCTAAAACAACAAATGAGACAAGGCGCGGGGGGGGCGAGAAGGCAGGCATGGGTGTGTGCTTAAGTTGGGGGAACGAGTCTGAGGACATTTTTTGCAAGAAAAGATGACACCGCCACTTACACGACTCATTCATCTAGCTTTGAACCTCTCCCCTGTTGCCTGTCTGTTCCCAGGCAAGGAAAACACATCAAATACACCTACGGTAAGCCAAGCCTCTCCGCCTGCTATACTAGGAACATGCAAAATAAAAAATTTTCTAGCAGAGACATGTTTCAGTCTAATCGCTTCCGATGTGTGCAATGTCCTGCAGCGAAGCCACTCAGGAGGATCGGCCACACTTGCACACAACCACAGCTGCGCTGGAAAGGAAGGAAGCACCTACATGATCGTGTTGCCCCCGATCGGCACGCTAGCGAAAGCGCGGCCCCCAAACGACGAGTAAGACCTTTCCCTCTGAGTCGGGGTCGCCGGCGCCGATGCCTCCAAGGCCCAGCAGGGACTGTCGCAAAACAGCTCAGCGGCGGTCGTGATCACGCCGCGGCCGGCGTTGCCGCCCCCCCCGGCAAGCAACGCCGCCGCTGCAGCCTCCGACGCGGAGGGAAGGCTGCTGGTACCACCGCTGCTTCCGCCGCTGCTGCCGCTCCTAGTCTTCCTGATCTTGACGGTGGTACCAGCGTCGATGTTGCCGGAAGCCGGGGTGGTGTTGCCCAAGATGGTCACCCGACTAGCGCTGCTAGCGGTGCACGGCGCAGCAGCCACCGGGGAAGGCGTGTTCGGGTCGGTGGTCATCGTGGTTACGGAAGCGGCGGCCGAACTGGTAGACAAGTTCTTGTCCAATGACCCGCGGCGGGAACGTTCTGGAAGACCGAGTGAGCGAGCGAGCGCGTGTGCGGGGGGGGGGGATACACTCATGTTTTGCATGCCTTCGCGGTTCGACCATTGACCACGCGTCCTCAAGAGGACGGAGCATTGTTCCGACAGGTGCGGGGGGAGGGCGGGTTGTACTCATACTCACGCTCACACACATAGCCATGCATGGCTTAGTCGTTACACCATGGCCTCGCATCCCTACAAAGCCGGGACGGAGCACGCCGGGTTTTCACCCACCGGACAGGGGTGGGCTGAAACACGTGAACCGATCAACGCGAAAGAGGAAAACAGCAGCGTGCGGATTGCTTGCACCTGCTGTGCACAGAAACTACCTTCGCGCCTCTACAGGCTCGCCTATTGGCAACACCCAGGTGCAAGGGTGGAAGGGTGGAAGGGTGGAAGGGAAGGACACACTCAACGCAACACAAACCACACCCTCCTCTAAACGCGCCCGAGCTCCTGTAGCGTTCTTAAACTTTGGCGTCAGGATGACGGAGGCGTGACACAGTAGAGGTTGTGTGCCAGTTAGGTAGTGCAGGTGCCCGGTATATAGTGCGGTGGTTCCGGCGGGTGCACACTCAATTCACATGGTAAGTCAAAATATTTCAAAAAGTGCCCATCCGGTTTAGTGCCAGCGAATTTTCTGGGCACATACCGGCACTAAACAGGGACCTCTACTGTACCGAACAAGCACTAAATTAGGACCGATTTCACGTCTCGATGCGACCTTAGTACCTTTGGTCGCCGCTCCCCTGGTGCCGCCGCTGCTTCGCAGCGGCGAGGCGGGTNCTTCGCAGCGGGGAGGCGGGTCTTGGAGCCGATTGGAGAGGAGGAGGCGGCAAGGGAGGCGGTGTCCACGTCTCGTCTCCTTGCACCTGAAGGATGCATGCATGCACGTGTCGGTGCTGCACATCAGAGTCCACAACGCCAATTGAGAGCTCAAACATTCTAAGTAAAAGCATTGCCTGCCTGCCGTACTATCGACTTCAACGAGGCACCAACACACTAACATCCCCTCGCCTTGAACCAACCACCCGACGGATTTCAACGTGACAAGCAGGTGCAGCCAGCAAGCGACGTTGCCAAATCGCGTCCCTGCACGTTCACCTCCTACTCCTCGACAGAAAAACACACCTCTTCCATACCATACCCTATGGAACTCCATAACCATAGTCAAAACGTCAAAGGGGAGTGCGGATGAACTATTTAGTTCCTCAAGGTAACCAACCGTACGATAAACACCTCGATCCCACACCCCCCACCCCCTCCGCACCGGGCCGCTCCCCCCCCCCNCCCCCCCCCCCCGCCCACCCCCTGTACCCACGCGTCCACAAACCTGTAACCCCCCACCAAATACTCGGGTGATTCGAACCGGGGACGGTCTTCCATCGTCCCCCGCCGGGGTACTGCCTCCCTGTGCTGCCAAGTTGCCGCCGCTGACATGAGGTCTTGAAGGCGTCACTTGTCTCCCCATTTCGGGTTTGAGGGAAAGAGGACCCTCAGGGAGATTCTGGTGATCGTCATCAACCATCAACCAGGAAACACGCGGGTTGGTAACCAGGGAGAAAACAAATTTACGACAATGTGCATAGGGCTCTTGCGACAAATGTGTAAGAACCAAGTGTTTCAAAACACTGAATGAGTTTGACTACAAGTGAACTCATCATCACTGGTGTCGCCATCGCATCGCAGCACCTCATGTAAACAGGCGATGAGCGAAAAATTCTAAATCGTAATCTTCTATCACGTGACAAGCAGTTGGTGGACCTTCACAGTTGCTATCGCGATTGATGCTTCTCTCCTCTTACAAAAGTAGTTGGCGAGAAGAACGCAAACTTTAGCGTTCCAACTAAACAACACGACATCACAACCACGACCTGCCATGCGGTTTTCCTTCGCATGCTTCACCTACGACGACAGGTAGCTTGGTCCCCAACATCCAACAGACAATATTTTCATGCAAAAAAAAAAACGGGTGGGAAACTCACGGAAAAAGAAAGAGGGCACGAAAACCAACCTACCTCGATTATTTCACTGGGAAACTTGCTCGCCAGCTCCGCGACCTTGCCGCAAAACTCCAGCTTCCGGTAAAACTGAAGGAAAAAATATGAAAATAGTTTCAGGGGATGGACGATGAATGAAACCGAAATAGTACTATCCTTGTAGCGGCAATGGTCGCTCATCCTGGAGACTCCATCAGAGAAAGGGCTAGGATTCTTGAGCAGCGGTCAATGCCAGCCGCATGCGTCTGTACCTCCTCTCGGCGATGTGCCGCAATACTTGTTCTTCAACAAGCAACCTACAAACATACTCGATCTGAGTCGCGAACAAGTACTTCCTCCCGTCACCCCGCCAATGCCTCCCGACATTTTATACTCCGCGTTGACTGCTGACTTCATGCTTGGCGCCGTATCATGGCCCCAGCCTCAAACCTATCCCATCCCATACAACAAGATGAAACCCGCACCCGCACATACATACGCCAATGCATTGGAGTCATCATAGCGCGTGCACATCTCTAGAGCATTCTCCTATACACACAAGCTCAAGGTCACACCACCTCAAGAGGAAGAACATAGACCTATGGTGGTACACGCGGGAAGAAAACAAGTAGTGCTCTTGATGATGACGCGGGGTGTCTGTCTGCCACCATACTCGTAGAAGATCATAGGACAAGAAATACAAATTACCTTTGGGCTGACGAAGAGATTGGCGAACTCGAAGAAGGAGTGCAGCACGGGTGTAGGCTGGAGGACCACCAGCCCCTTTAGGTTCTTCTTGTACCTGTTCAGGTCAAACACACACCAACAGGACAAAGCAACCAAAACAAGTCAAACACACAACAACAGGACAAAGCAACCAAAACAGGTCAAACACACAACAACAGGACAAAGCAACCAAAACAGGTCAAACACACAACAACAGGACAAAGCAACCAAAACAAGCTGTATTTTTGTATTGGATATGCAGATGGAAAAGGCATGCCGGTGTTGCCGTTCTTCCTAAACCAAACGCTCCCCATCCGGCTGGGCCGCCAACGCGATCGCCATCCCATTTGAGATTCGACTCGTGTAAAGGCCGCCACACCTCACTGAATTAAAAGACTGAATACTTGTATAAACCCCTATTGTTTGCGCAAGCACAATGTTTGGGCGTCCTATGGTATGCGTGGGTTGCTACATGTAATGGAGCATTGAATGAACGTTGTACTTTATGAGCATGACATGGATGTTTTGATATGCTGGGAATATCTTCGTTGGTTGCCGTGACCAGGATTCAGGATTCCAATTCCAACCACCAGCTGCTGTGAGCGAGCACGGAGCAGCGTATGCTCCCTTCCCTTTTATTCTTTGTTCCTCCATCACACCAACCCAACAACTACCGTATGTTGCATATGCAACTCCATTTGTATGTAGGTTGAATACAGGCTTGTAAATTGAGCGCTATCTATCAATATTAGTCCTTACAGGGAAGTTCTGAAGAAGTGCTGCATGAAACACGCAGTGAAAAATATTCGGGAGTACATAAAGCGCACGAGCATCTCGTTTTTCAGTAGCCCCCGGGGAAGGCGCTCAAATTTTTTCAAATAAAAAAAACAGAAATGGCTGCGAAACGCAGCTCAGTCGAGGATCCTACTGTCTGCACTAAACTCAATACAATTGGTAGCCTGTACCATAAATCTCGACGGCGGCGGTGAGGAAATGAGAATCCACACCTCGATTTGACGTTTGTTTTGTGATCTGCGGTCCCGCGCTGAACACAGCTACGTGTACGCATACAAGCTTTTTCTGGACGGAGATCAAGGTCTCCTCCGCGAATTCCACGCCATTGTCGTGGACGTGTGGCAGACTGGGGACGTTCCACAGCAGTGGAAGGATGCCACCATCAAAGTGCTGTTCAAAAAGGGGGACACGATGGAGTGCGGCAACTACCGGGGCATCTCTCTCGTCGCACACGC